GGCAGGGTTTTGCAATTTGTGTAGACTGACACTGCACTGCTAAATAAGATGAGTTCAAGAGGCTTTATCAGAAGAGGGTGTTTTTTCTTCTATTGTCAGAAAATCATATTAATAAAACTTAATAGGAAGTTGAAAGTAAAATTGCAGCAAACTGTGAACTTAATATTTTCCTGGTGGGAGCTCATTAATATCTCAACAGGTATGCTCATGCATTATCTTAATTGCACATGATCCTTAGGGAAATTGCCTTTTCTGAAGTTTTCTGACAACTGTCCTTTAGTGAGTGGGTTCAGGTGCACCATTTTATTAATCCTTTAATAGATTGTTGGGAAGAAGATAGCGTAACTCCATCGCATTTAAATAGCAGGGCAGTACTAATTATTTATGTGGTTCCAGTGACTTGGCAGGTCCTCTGCAGAGCAAGGGCAGTTGCATCAGAACTTGGGAGTAGGTGGGATGCAGGCGCGAGGGGAAGGGAGCTGGTGCTCCCCGGGGTTGCGGCAGCCTTTGGACGAGCTGCCGAGGAGAAGGGTCTCGAGGATCCCGTGAACGCTGAGATAAGGAGACAACGGGATAAGGAGACAACACCCAGGGAGTCTGAATTGGAATGAGTACTCTAAGACAGCAGCTGTGCTGTCTGTATGGGCGGTAGACATAGGTGTCCAGGTGGATAGCATAGGCAAAGCATGGGGAGACCAACATCTGCTCAGCTGGATGGTGCCTGCTGCGCTGAAAGGTCCATTCTTGGTATATTCAATATGGGCATTTATGGGCGGAAAGGTGGACAACGTAGAGAATTTTTCCCTAGCTCAGCATGCTCCTTTCCCTTCCTTTTACCTCCCCCCTGCCACCAAAAAAAAACAAAACCACAACAAAAAAACACTCATCAAGTTTGTCATTCAGTTGTCAGCTGGTTTTTGCTCTCAAGTTTCTAGTTCCAGCCCTGATGCTGGAGGATGTGGCTTAGCAGACCAGCAGAAACACTTTGTGTTGTGCCTGCTTGCAAAACAGACCCGGCGTCTTTAGCAAGTCAGCCAGGTGATGAGGGGGATCCAAAGAGAGCTTTCCATTAGCAGAAAAAATGAAGTAAATGAAGAATAATGTTCAACGTTAAAAATAAATTAACATTAATTAATCCCTGACAAATGCAATGTTCCCATTAATCATTCACTCTTAGTGTAATCAGACATCAACTAGGCAAGCAACATGCAAAGCTCTTGAAGGTGACGTTTGCCATGATCTTGTAAACAACGTGACCGCGTTGGAGAAAATCCTCCTCTCGCAGGGCCGCTCTGCGGAGCCGTTTGCTGAAGTGGAGGGTCCCTGCAGAAGCCCCTCGCACAGCTGCGTCGTCTGCCTGCGGCCCAGGGGACACGAGCAGGGGTGGCCCCAGCACAGGCAGCCGCGCGTGCATGCAGGAGAGCCCTGGGCTCCGCTGTGCTGCGCGGGGCCAGGGGATTTTATCCCCGGGGCTTTAAGTATCGCAGCTCTCCTGCCAAAGTGGTTGAGCTGTTTGGAAAGTAGAATGTAATTCCCTAAAGCTTTGATGCTTCAGACGTGTCTTAGAGTAGAAAATAGAAAAATGTGATGGAAAAAGATGACGGAAGAGAATGCTTGCTTCTTTAAACTTAAAAGTTTTGAACAGATGATCAAATAGGAGGTACCAGCCTATATCAACACAAAAGAAAAATATTTTTTTTATAAAATAGCTCATTAATGTAAAAAAAAAAAAAAAAAAAAAAAAATGTTCAGTGATGTGATGAAGCTTTCTCCATAACAAATCTATTCAAATTTTACTTCTTTTTTTCCTGGAAAAATGAAATTTGTCATTAGTGTGATACTTATTCATGAAATTATGGGGCTAAGATTGAGAAACACGTTAAATCATGCTTCAAAATATATTATGTAGGAGAAAAAAAAAAGAGTTAAAAGGAGTCTGTCTGTTTTCCACAACTGAGACATTTCAGCCCTGCTTTGAAGAGTCCTGAGCGGGTCTGACCCGTTCTCCCCACCTGCTGAGGCTCTCTTGTCTCCTGTGTTTTGTTGCCAAAATTCCCAGGAGCCCAAGGCGCGCGCTGGGGAGAAGCCATCATCACGTCGCAGCAGGGCGCGTTGTCTCTTCGTTGTTAGTCTGGTTAAGAGTTAATGTGAGGTTGTGTTTTTCAAGCTAAAGTCACTCTGTAAAACAATACAATAACCAAGAGGAACATATGGTGCAAGGTATGGGAGAACAGTTTCCGTTCAAGTCTGTGAGATGCTTGTCCACATCCGAGGGGAATAGATCGAAGCGCTCAAAAGTGAGTGGAAGAGGAACTGCTGGGCTGTGCTGGCTGCTGCAGACAGATGCTCAGTTTGTGCTGCCGGGAGGCTGGCGGATGGGAAGGAAGCAGTGCAGGAAGGGGTCACATCTTGCAGAGGCAGCTCTGAGATGCTCTGATATATTGGGCAAAGTTAAACTCTAGTGGCTGTGGTAAATATTGTACCTATTTAATTATTTTTCTTCTGATAGCCAAAAAAAACCCTACTGCAGTTCCCCTCTTCATTATCACTTCACATTGTTTTTAGGTAGTCTGTAAGAAAGCAAAATCAAAAAGATATAAAAGCCTGGGGATGCTTTTATTGCTGCAAGCAACTGTGACAGCTGAAAGTGTTTTTTGGACAGAGGAAAAGAGGCTTAAAAACCCAAAAGTCTCCTAAGTAATAAAAGTACTGGAGCAAATTCCACAGACAGTTCACATTTGTATAGCTGCAGAACATGCTCCTTTTGATTTTTACCTAAAAAAAAAGCAGTTGTTGGCACTGAGGAATGCAAATACTCGTTTGCAGATAAAATGCATTTTCACATCTCCTATTTATAATTCAAAAATCCCAGCACACTGCTGTCTCAGTATGGTTCAGTATGCGGGGCTGTAAATTGTGTACTGGATGCTTGGCTAATTAATAGCACCCATAACGTCGGCATGATTAACTGTTCTGCTTAATATAATGCCATCAAATGAATAGACAAATAAAGCTGATAAGCAACCGAGCAAGCTCTTTTAACTGCATTTTACAAATAGGAAGAGAGCTGTCCTAAAATGTCACCAATTATTTATTAAACAGTTATTGTAAGCACAGGCAAATTAGGAATTACAATCATTTTTGAAGGCTGCCATGTAATAGTGGTCAACATCCTGCTGTGTTCTTTCTGCCAGCCTGAATTTTAACTATTTAAATTTTCTGTGACTGTAACAGTGGAAGGTCTTGTTGGCAACATGCTGTCTAAAACCAACAGATCTAAAATAAATCTGGCGAGGCTTTGTAGATGACTGCTGTCTTACATTCAATGCCTACAGCATCCCAGCTTTCTGCATGATTAACCATGTCTTTTTGACATCAGTCTTTTAAAACATGAGCTGAAGCTACCAAATGAGTGACACAACACATCCGAAAGAAAGGCTGTTCCAAGTAGTGGTGGATTCAGTGCTCTAACATACATAATGACAGCCTTAACACCAGCTAAAATTTAAGCATTTATTTCAGTTTAATAATTCATAGCAGCTAAAAGTGATGCTGCGCCAGGGACCTGATTCAGCAGAGTCGCTGCGCGCAGGGATCCCGCTGGCGCAGGAGGTTTTTGATCGAGGGCCATAAACCGTGTTTGGCTCTAGGCCGTGTTGAATGAGGCTAAACAGATCTTAAATAAGTCATGTACTTTGCTGTGGTTTATAATAGAAGAGTGAATATTACTTTTAAAGATAGGAACATTTCTCTGCAATTTTTCAGCGATGTTTACTAATTTCGTGTGCTTTAGGTAAGTTCAATTGTCTGCTGGGTCTTCAAGCTTCATTTTGCCTTCTACCTGTCCACTTTTATTGTGCTGCAGGACTTGTTAACGTGGCGAGCGTGTGTACTCTGGAAATGCTGCGTTTGCTCTCTTGTGCTTCTGACCTCCATGGGGCTGGAGGTGCTGAGCCCTTTGCGATGTTGAGCATGGGGGAACGTATGAGAAGACTGGAAGAGCTAATAAATACTTGTAGAATTGCCATATAAAGATACAATATTAAAAATGCCTCATCAAGGCATGAAATACTGACCTTTCCAGAATCTACAGCATTCAAAATATATTATCATGCTTGCGGATTTTGCAGATCCTTTCTCATCTTCTTTGACATTTCAAGAGAGAATTATGGAAGGCTCCTTAAATTAAGAAACAGTTGGAACAGTCCCAGACTGTTACCCCAAAATTACACAATGTATTTTGGTATTAAGGAGATCATAACTGATGGGGATCTTTTTTATCAAGGAGAAAAGAACCCTAAACAATATTCTAAACAATATTATGTTCATAAGTTAAGTCTCCATCATAGTCTGCAGTTGGGAGAAGAAAAAGCAGTGATTGGTTTGTCATGGATGGATGTGGGTTTACGGCTGAGCCAACTGATGATCTAAGTGATCTGCTTGTATTTCTCTTAAGGACAGGGATTTCCGTGCTCCGCAATCTTCATTACTCATCTTCAGAAAAAAACAGAAATATATATATATATATATAAATATATATAAAAAAAACTTGGAGTTAAAATGTGATGTTTAAGAACTTCCTCAAGGAACTGATAAAAGCTCTGTGTGTCACCTGTGAGGGCAGGGTGGATTCCACCTCTGTTGAACTCTTAGATGACTGATACTAGTCAAACCAGAAAACCAAGAAAAAGGACGTATCAAGAAAAAACATGGTTTGTATATGGTGGATGTGATTAAGATGGCCTGCAAGGAAGATATTATGATTGTGCAATATGTAAAGTTGTTTGACTAACGACTTTTTGTATAATTTTCCACTTGAAATTACTGAAAAGATTGTTTCTTTGACTTGTACATTGTAAAGGAACACAATAGAGAACCACATATGGGTACAAGACAGAGAAGTAAGATTCAGCTAAAGTGAACTGCTTTAGCTAGTTGCTGCAAGAAGTACAATGAATGTATGAATATGTATATTTATCAGAAATTATTTTTTTCTACAGATCCCACAAATCAGTTATGCCTCAACCGCACCAGAGTTGAGTGATGACAGGCGCTATGATTTCTTCTCACGTGTGGTTCCTCCAGATTCCTTCCAAGCGCAAGCAATGGTGGACATTGTAAAAGCTTTGGGCTGGAATTATGTATCTACTTTGGCATCTGAAGGGAATTATGGAGAAAAAGGAGTCGAGTCCTTCATGCAAATTTCCAGAGAGGCAGGTAGGCAACGCCCCCCTTCCTCCAGAAAATGCTGTTGTCTTGTACCAAAGGTTATATTATCTTTCTAGAATATATATGATTAAAAGGTTGCTCCAGTTCTTTACAGTTCATTTGTTCCTAGGACTGTTCCTACAGTTCCTAGACACTCATGCCTAAACTGCTTATGGAGTTTGAGAGCTTGAAACCTTAGTGACTTTCAGTCATTTCTGGAGAAAATAGAAGATGCTGGTCTTACCAAACTCTTGATATTCCACTGAACAGGATTGTGTTACGTTGACATGGAGAGAAGTCAGATTTTGAAATATTATCTCTCCACAGCAAGAGATTCTTTGAAGATACCTTACTATTACACATTGACTTGTCTTATACTACTGTGTTCACCTTTCAAATCACTACCTGGTTTTAAATAGATTTTTTTTTTCAGCATTTCTGTTGGCCAATTCAGTTGAGAAAATTCATACCCTTTTACTTGATGGCTCTGAGGTAACAAGCAAACAACTTCAGTCACAAAGATCTACTTGGCAGTATGATGTGAGGCCTATCAGGTGCTTGTTGAGAGATGATTCACTTTTTATTTCTTAAATGTTTTATTTAGTGGTAGTGCAGTAAGGGTGAACATGAAAAATTAATACTTTCAGTGCTGGGTGGTGTTGCTCATCTGTTAGTGATGTTCCAACATACAGGGAAATGCATCGTCTTACATTGGGTCAGGCTTAGGTGTGGAACCATCACAAGTCATTTAACAGAAGTCCCTAATTCCGCAGTTTGTTTTCCTGTGGCAGTAGGAAGCGGAGCAGCTTGCCTGAGATCGTCAGCCAGGAGCTGCTGTTGCCTGTTATGCAACAGTCCCCACTGCACAGTCATATTCTTGTGCTGCTAACTTGCTCTTCAGGGTAAAGTAGTTCTAAATTTCCCTGGAGACACTAGAACGTAGGAGGACTTCAGATGGCACTTCAGGGAATACAGATATAAACCCATGACAAGCTAATTTGCAATCCAGAATCATTAAGGTTTGTAAATTGAAATATTTGAAATTGATTCTTTTGCTAGCGAGGAAAAATAATCAGAAGATGTCACTCATCCAAGCCTATCTCCATAAATGCACAATATATCCTGACATGTTACAGCGAATCATGAACACATCATCATTTTATAAGAATAAGCTCTCTTATGTTCTGCAAATGGAATTCATGGATCTAGCAGCCTGTAGCTGTCCTGGCATCATATTGAATATAAATGGCATAACTCAAACTATAATTCACTTACTAAATTACACAATTGACTAGCCAAATTAATAAGTGCCTATCAGTCAGAATTGGAAAAACTAGAATGGGACAGACGTTTCTTTGAAGCAGCCACCTGAGGTTTCCCTTTTCTCTGTTGTTGCCGAGCGGGTCCCACAGCGTGCGCGGTGCTCGTGCACGTTGTCCGCGTGCTTCGCAAGGCGCCGCGTGTCGGCTTGCTCCCAAACTGCCACGGGAAGCTGCCTCTGTCCCGTTTGTCAGCATAATCCAAGAAGTGACGACAGAGGATGGTTGTACTTAAAGCAAGGGGCTTTAGGAAGGAAAATCTGATTGTTTCATTATGTCAATATTACAGAAGGAACCTATATTTGCATAATTTTTTTCTGTTCGTTTGAATGCATATTTATGTGGTATTAAAGAAAATGCTTTTGGATTTATTACCACAGGAAGTGACAAAATGCCAGTATTAATTATAATTTTAAATTAACTTTATTTGCAAATATCCTTGCAAAATGATACAAAAAGTATGTTCGCATGTCAAGGACAAATTCTAGCAGCATAATACCGTGTCATTTTATAAATTTTCTGTAGAATACATTAATGGCAGTTTTCCATGTAGCCAACATAAAACGCAACGTAGTTCATGAGAGAGGGCGTAGACGCTGAGCGTGCCGTGTCCCTTGGGTCACGGCGGGCTGGGTGTGCTCTGGGTGGCAGATGGGGACTGCTGTGACATGATTTCCCAGAGCATCGGCAAGAGAAAGAATACAATACTGTTGGGGTGGCCTCATGACCCTGTGCGCAGGGTGCTCAGGAGACCTTGTGTCCCCTCCTGGGAGCACTACCTGCCATGTATTTTATTCAGATATTTGATTAATGAGGCTGTTAGGTGGTTACTGCAGTCACAGAGTCTGTAGGGGCCTTACAGAAAAACCACAAACAGCCATAAATTTTTGGGCTCACAGCTGTGGCAGAGCTTGTAGCTTTGATCTGTCTATTTAAAAATTACATTGGAGTGGTGAAGAGCAGGCTGTGTAATCACCAACAAAAGGAGAGAAGACTTTTGCTAAGGGCAATGCACTTGAGGTATTGAGTATGTTTAATGGGACCAAATACACGTGGCCTGACTGAGGTGTATAATATAAAAGCATCTTCACAAAAGCAGCCGGATCTTGTGTTATCCTCATAACACAGTGACCCCGAAGAAATGGAGGGCGATTGTGGCCTCGACGCTGCGGCTGTGTGAGGAGCTGAACGCTGCGCTCCGGCCTGCGGCTGGCACCCAGCGGGAAACGCGGGCTCAAGTGCAGCAGTGCAGGGAAGTGTTTCCTTAGTCAACGATACCTTTTTTTTCTGAAAATTAGTAAGGTTGGAAGGATTATCAATCTTTTCTAAGCTAGAAGGCATACCTGGGGTATTCCATAGTAAAAAGGAGAGGATGGAAGGTAGAAGAATTACTTAATAGTTTACTCCGTTTTCTAGTGAGCTAAAGCATTCAGTATTCATCAGGAGCGCTTGCGTTACATTTAAAGAGTTGTCCATTTAGATTTTGTGATTTGGTCCTGGGCACAAGTTGCCTGCTGCGTGCGCTGAAACAGTTGCCTGCTCAAATCAGATGTCAGCACCAGGAAAGGCTGCGTTTAGAAACAGAAAAGTCTCTTTGCAGAAAAACAATGTGTACATGCAGTCAGATTGATAATTCGTATACTCACAAACTCATATACAAATAAATAATCAAAAAGTTGTGGCAGAAAAATCTCTGTAGCCTGGTGAAAATATGTGAATGTGGCATATACAGCAGAGCTCCTGCTTTGTGTTTAGCTGTGTCTCCTCTTCATGCTGCCTGGGTAGGGACATGAAGGTACAACTTGCTGTTTAAGAGTTTTCCTGGCTATAGGGCATAACTCACATGTCCCTCCTTTTAACTAGCAGAAAAATCAAGTTGAGGAAGAGAGCGGGGAGGGATGTCAAAGCAGAGGTCTTTATGTTAGTTCTTAAATATGTCGTCCTTGAGGATTTTCTCCTCTGCCAGGAACAGGAACAACCCTGGAGCGGAGTAATTAGTCAAAGTTTGGACATACTGGAAATAAGCAGTCATCATTAGCTCTCGGACGTATGCCCTGTGTCTTGTAATCAGTGTGTTTTGGCAGAAAAGAAGATTTAGTCCATAGGTACTAACACATTGATTATCTTTGGCCTCAAATCAGTGGCAAGCTAATTATCCTAAAGTCCATGTTTTATCCAGACTTATTTCTATTTAAGCCCTGATCTTAGGAATTGTAAGGGTGAGTAGAAAAAACTATCCATGCTTAGCTTTTAAGTATACTTTTAGTTTATAAAGACTTTGCCTGATCCTTTGGGTTAATAATTCTTTCACAAAGTGACTTTTATTATGAGTACTTCAAGCTAGTTTGAATATGTCACTGTGATGGGGATGAAGATTTGAAACATGCTCTGCAGTCTGGGATTAATAAATTAGGAGAATGTTCTAATTATGGAATATCTGAAGGACAATTTCAGATTATTAATGAAACTACTGAATACTCGAATTTCAAAGATTACTTCATCTTTGATTTTTTTTTAAGTTTTTAAGAGATTAATCTGCACCAGAAGGTTAATTGCTGTCTGTAAGAAATATATATATTGAAGTCATTAGTGAAAGACCACTGGGATGCCTCCTAACAGATAGATGAAAGATCCAACATGCATTTATTCATCTTTTTCTTTTCCAAAACTGAACAGTTTCACAGATAAGCATAGTGGCTGCTTTTCAGCTTGTGAAGACTTCGGTGCTTAGGCAACAGGCTGCAGTACAGTGTAGGAAACTGCTGAGCTCTACTTCTCTTGCTTTCACCTCTGCATTCCACATCTCTTGTGTCCAAAATGCCACTTCATGGGTAAGTATCTGCCCTTAGCAAGGCTGATCGTGAGCAGAGTTGTGTTTGCTTGCACAAACTAATCCTACTCTCTTGCAGGGAGTAGTGCCTGCGCCAGGCTTTGCTCCAGTTAGGCAGTACCGTAATCTGCAAACAAAGATTATTCTAGACAATGTATTTCTCAACCTTTTGGAAGGACTGCAGAAAAAAAAAATACAGAAAAGCATGTCGTCTTTGTGCATTAGATAAAAACATGGAAAAAAGATTTAAGTTCTTCTTGAACCAGTGTGCTGATACGATTATTGCATCTGCTGAAGTTTCTACTAAGGCTTTTAGTTGCGGTGTCACATTTGTTAAAAGGTTATCATCACCTTGGTGGAATGAGAAAGCAGAATAAACTTTAATCCACTTTAACATCCACAGGCACAACACTTGCAACAATCTCTTTATCTTCTTTGCCTTTTTTTTTTTTTGCTCAGATAATACATTCTTACAAAAAAAGACTTTTTTGGACATACCTATTTCTTTAATTCTTCTGTTTTTATGAATTTCAAGCGCTGTGCAGGGGTCTGCTAAGTAAGCTTTGAACCAGCTCTGTTGTGCCAGGAGGGCTGAGTGCCATGAGCTGCAGGGGCTGGATCAAGTATTTCTTCTCTGTCCCTTAATTTAAGCTTGAATTTCTTTTTCAACTTGTTTCCAGCTTTGTATTTTCCAGTGAAAGAACATTTATACGCACATGCATGTGCATATCCCTGCCATGAGCTACCTTGCTGTTTCACCTAACAGATTTCAAGTGATACTGCACCTAAAATCACCATTTTTGCATATCATTAATCGGTGCATTATTTAGTTAAAACCTAGTGTCTTGGTTTCTGTGCAA